TCCCAGGACTTTTGTCACTTCAGTGTAATTAATAACACAAAAATTCAAATAAAAAAATTTCATTTATAATAAAATATTTAAACAGAATTTAATCACAAATAATATATTTTTTTAATTGAATGGAATTTATCAAACAAAACTCATTAATACAAATTATACTTTTATATTTAAAAAAAAAATTCTACAAAAAAATTTTGTCTCTATGACAGTTTTAAAATGCATATCTATGAAATTACATTAAACTCTCAATCGAAATTGAAACCAAAAATTAATGGTATTCTTACTTATGGTGTTCTGTAGTTTCCAAGGACTTGGACATAAGATTACGTATATAATATTTTGAAACATCAGGGGTAGTAGAAAAATATTCTGAGTAACTGTAACTGTATCTTTTGCATAATTGACTAATATCGATTTTGACATTTTTTATCTCGAATTATACTTCTAAATTAAAAAAAAAAAAAAAAAAAAAAAAAAAAAAATTTTTTTAAACCTTTTTGTCTTAGTAACAGTCCTAAAAGGCATATTTATGAAATTGCATTAATCTCACATTCAGAATTGAAATTAAAAGTAATAGTATTATCACTTGTGGAATATGTTAATTGCGTCCATTGACCGTCACATGAGATCCTATAAATAATACTTTAGAACAAAGTAATACTAACTAATAGTAACTAGAACCAAATAATAACCAAAGTAATACTAGAACTAATAATACTTTAAAACAGTAGCAAAGGAAAAAGGAACTGTATAACTATAACTGTGTCTCTTTTGTATTGAATAAATGGCTTTTTCAATGGTTCGAACTTTGTGTTTTGTATGATCATCTTTTATAAAATTTTCGCTTAAAAAGATCGTTCAGTTTTGGTTTTATTCAATTTAATTAAATATTGATTTACCTTTTTTCAACTGAATGGAATTTTTTTTAAAAGATACGTTTTGGATTTACATAGCGAATTCAAATGATTTTTTTTTTTTGATACTCAAAATGAATTTCAAACATGATAAAGATATTTATTGAAAATAAGAACAAAAAGATTTTTGAAAAGAAGTTCATTTTTACCAAACATCAGCATGTTAAGCAAGCATCAGAATTTTCAAATAAAAGAACGTAAAAAATAATATGCTTAACAGGACTTTTCTAAATTTTGAATTGAGAATTTCAAATTTATTCCTTATGTAAATTACTTTTTTTTGGGAATAATAATGTGTATCTTTATTTTAAAAGAAATAAAGTAGCTAGTGAATAAATTATCAGTGAATAAATCACAGTTTACTGAATGAAATATTTTGTTCCATGAAAAAAGAGATTTTACTTGCTGATTTTTTTATTTCTTATGATTTTGATAACTAGTGTGATAAAAACAATTTAAGTTAACAGAGTTATTATTTTTATTTAAAATATTTGAATAGTTTAAGTTTTAATAAATGTAGAACATTTTAAAATTTTTTAGTTTTATTACTATTACACAAATTTTATTTTATTTTCTGTTTTTCGCATTTTATGTACATTCTTGGAGTACAGTTGTAATGGTCTTTAAAAATGCGAATAGAATTTTTCTTTTGCAAGCTAATTTTTAAAGTTCATAAACATTATAAAATTACTGTATTTTTTTCAAGAAATATAATTCTATTCCTTAAAATAAAGGAAAATTCATATGCCTGAACATATACATGGCTGAACATATGTAAACGAGATAAACATTCATCCTTAAAAATAAAGGAAGAATTTAAGCTTGGTAGAAAAATATGAAGCTAAAATACAAAATTAATAGGCAATTAGTAATATTAAAAAAATTTATTTTTTAAAATTTGTGAAGGAATTTTTTTTTCTTGAAAATCCTTTTATTTACATTTGCAAATAATTATTCATAGTCAAATAAAAAAATCTCTAAGAACAAATGCTCATTCTCGTTCATACAATTATTTAAATGTTTTTTTTTTTTATTTAATTTAACAAATAGTTAGAATCCTTTTGGGATATTTTGATGTTTATTTTATGAAAATATATTAAATTCATATCAAAAATCAGACTTACATTTAGTATTAATTTTAATTTATGATTCTTATTATTATTATTATTATTATTATTATTATTTTTTTTTTTTTTTGAACATCAAATAATCATTTTGGAAATGTTAAAGATATGCTAATGAAAGAAGATTTTTATTGAGCTAGATGTTCAAAAGCAAACTTTTAAACTAAATAAATTACAGTTTTTATTAAATTAAAATATAGCTAACTTAAAAATATTTTCAGATTGTAGGCTACAGACTAATTAAAAAATGAATACAATTAAAGAAAAACTAGATCTTTAAACATCACATTCAAAAGAAAAAAAATAATAGCAAAATTAACAAACGTATTCTTTATATATTATTGAATATGATAATTGTTTTCTAATTTAATAATTTGTGATATTTTTTTTCTCATTTATAAAAGACTATTGTTTGAATAAAATATGTTTTTACTAAAAGTAATTATACAATTGCCTTACATTGCTTATTTATTTCATTTATGTGAATGAAATTTCTTTGTAATTATATTTAAAACAATATTATTTGTTTAACTAGCTTTGTGAAATTTCAGTGTGTAGCAAATTATTTAAATGAAATAATTTTTAAGCATTGCGTCTCACTATAAACACTTTGTATGAAAAAATATGCTAGTATAATATTAAATTGCAGTGAGAATTTTTGGTATTAAAAAATATGCTAGTATAATATTAGATTGCAGTGAGAAACATTTTTGGTATTAATATAAATTTAGATAGATTTTATTTACATTTTATAAAAGATATAATTAGCATTTTAAATGGAAGATACTGGATCATCTTCACCTCTAGGTCTATAGCTGGATAGTCTCTGATCTTCCTATTTCTGCACGAAGAACCGGATATTGTCCAGATAACATCCCTGGTCTTAATCCCTTTCTTCAGATAATAAAGAGTGATTTCTGGAGCGAAATTGTCATTATCAAATACACTCAGAAATGCATGTGAAATGCCAATACTGCACCACAATCTGTCAAACAGCAGGAAAACAGCTGTTTGTCCTTTTGAATCACAAAAATGTTTAAAACAAATATAATTGTTGGTAACTTTTCATTATATATGGTATGATCAACGTCAACTAAAATTGCCGAAAAATATTTGAGGTCTCTGTTTTTTCTTCATTCAACAGTATTTGCTCGTGGAGGATAGACATGGGTCAAGGTTTCTTTTATATTCAAAAGGTAGCCCACTTTTTGAAGTACTGCATTGTCAAATTGAGAGTCTTTATTACCAAATGACTCTTCTTGGGGTTCTTACCTCATAAAGACTTATTTGTTTATTACAATGACATATTCTTCAGCAATAGCTTTGGTTGAAGCCTATGGTTTGGTGTAATCCTATGCACTTGACGGATAGTATTCTTCCATCTTTCGTTTTAGGTAAAGCCCATACAACAGGATTCTCGTTTGGTTGTGGACTAATTTTTTTCAGCATTGATGAGTTAATCGACTAGGACGCAGGACGTTCTTCTGATCATGTGCCTTGTAAAAGTACAACATCCAATGCATAATTACTTCATGCATGCATAATTCTTCTGGGTTCATTTTCAACATGCCTTTTACTTTGTGAATTTACCTAGTGGTGTAGACATTTCATAGAATTTTGATATGAATCTCTTATATCATGAACAGGTTTGTAAAAATCACTGAAGTTGTTTAATGGACTTTAGAGAAGTCCTTTTTTGTATGCAAGTTATGTTCAAGATATTTGATACGGCTAGATGAGAAATTGTAATTTTTCAATTAGCATGTAGTCTAAACTGATAATTTGCTGGGAAATATTTTTTTGCCAAAGTGACATTCAACGATACCTGTAAGTTGGCAAAGAATAAATGAAGGATGTCTCATCACGATCAATTAAATTAACCTCAATTTGATGATAACCTGATTTTATGTCAATTGTAGACATATAAGAGGTGTGCTTTGTTTCATACATCAAATCGTCTATTCTTGTAAGCGGGTAATTATCAGTAATTATAATCGTATTTAATTTCTGATACTCACACAAGAAGGTGTGTGGTTCTGGTAGGCTTCGGAACTAAAAATATAGATGAAGCATATGATTAGCATTCTTCAATAATTTCATCCAGTTTTACTTTAGTAAATGACTTATTTTTTAAATATTTTAACAAGATTTGATGAATGAAATATTCATCAAATATGAATAACAATCTTTCGACACTAAAAATTTGATAAGAGCATTTTTCTTTGTTCTCTTTTCCAAGGTGAGCATTTTTCAGGTATGTGTACTATCGACTATAATTCAAAATCTAATTTTCATTTTTTAGCTATTTTCAAAATTCCTTAGTGCTTGAAATATTAAATTAAAAATATACTTATCAAGATATCTTCAAAATGACGTTGAATTTCTCAAAACATTTTCAAAATGGATGTTCGAATGCAACTTAATCTTCCGCAAATAAAGTATTCGACCCATATACAGTAGCTGGGTACCAATATAATATTCAATTGCAGGGATGAAATTTTTGCATAATAAGATAAGATTTAGCAACAGCTTTAATTGAGACCAATACATGCTTGTGGGATAGTCTTCTATGATGAAGATCCACCTTTTTAAAATTTTTGTTTAGGTAAAGTCCATACTACAGCTAGTGCTTCTCGTTTGGTTGTAGAATAACTGTTGTTGTTTGTTGTTGTTTCTTATCCCACTTGGCTGGCCAAGCCCACGAGCTCATACGTACTCATGATTGAAGGGGAAGGAAGCAGCTTGTGTTGTGATGCAGCACCCGTAGGTAGAAGTCTGACTTTGGCTCCGTGACGCTCTTACAGTCATAGGAGACCGGGAACTACGGCTTAAAGTGAATTCCGAACCACTACAAACATCCATGGCACCGCCGGGATTCGAACCGAAACATGTGGCATCGTGCGCCAGAGCGCTAGACATTCGGCCATTCAGGTCCCAAATTTGAGAATGCCAACGGCACGCGGTGTTCCCACCCAAGTACTGACCGCGCCCAATGACGTTTGACTTTGGTGATCTAACGAGAACTGATATATTCAGCATGGTATGGCCGTTGGCACTGTAGAATAACTTCTTTCAGCATTTATGAGTAATCGATTAGGACTTAAGACATTCTTTTGATCCAGTGCCTTGTAAAAATACAGCATCCAATGCAAAATTACTGGTATCAGTAGGAATAATAGAAGTGTGATCATTCTGTTGAAGAATTGGCGGACTAATTAAAAGTTGTTTTACTTTGTTGTTATTTACTCTAAAAGTAGTTTTCCTCCCAAATATTTCGAAACAAATCAAAGCAATGATTAAAATATTAATCAAATGATAAGAATAATACTTTTCAGACTCTAAGAACTGAGTATGCACATTTTTCTTTAGTATGTAAATTTTTTTCTCTCTTTCGGCTAATTAGACCGGGACTACAATTTAACGTGGACTCAGAACCACTAAGAAATATCCATACCACTGCCAGTATTCGAACTTAGCCTCTGGTACCAAGGGATAGAGAGCTAGTCAATTGGCAATCAAGCCGCTAGCCATTGTAGAAGAGGAAGATGATGAAAATAAAATTTAAATTTTTTAATCCATGAAAACTCGTATATTATTTGCTTGTTTCTTATTTGCATTTAATGTAATAATATTTTTTATACGATTTATATTTAAAAAAACGAAAGGTAAAATAATTTTTAATACGAAAATAGCCCAAAAATATAAAGGGTTTTTCTGAAAAGGAGTGAAAAGAAAGTAGGGATTGACTTTAAACAAGTAATATAAAAAAAAAATTAAAGTCAATTCCTATTTTTTTTTCCACTCTATTGCAGAAAAGTCCGTTATAAATAATTTTTATTCATTGCATTTTAAGTTTATCTGGCGCCATGTATTGGTAGATATATGCCACTGAAATCTAAATAAAAAACTAAAATTAATTAATTAAAATTAATGAATGAATTAACATTTGAAAAAACTGTATTAACATCCAGTGTCATCCACTACAAGTTTAAAAAAAATGTATTTGAACTTGAGTGGATGAATAGAAAGTATTTTATGAGCGATTGAAAATTTGAGCAAGATATATATAGGGAGATTGTGAGCTAATAGAAGGAATTGAAAAATACAAATTTTTAGGGAAAGTGATAACTCCTAAAGGAATGATAATTGCATAGAAAACTGTAACTGGAAGCATCACCGTATGTAAGAAGGCGGCTCTGTTCTTCAGTGAGCTATGGGAGAAATTTCGGGTTTCATATTCGAGCAATAACCCACGCAAAAAAAAACATGTAACCTCATACAAACAAGTAATATATAAAAAAAAATAAATAAAGTCAATTCCTACTTTTTTTTTTTCTCTATATTGCTGAAAGTCTTTGATAAATAAATTTCATTTATTTTTTTAAGTTTATCTGGAGCCATCTATTGGTACATAAAAGATTGAAAAAATTGTATTATTATCAAGTGTCATCGACTACAAATTAAAAAAAAATGTATTTGAAGTTGAGTGGATGAATAAAAAGTATTTTATGAACGATTGAAAATTTGTTTAAGATATATATAGGGAGAGTGGGAGCTAAGAGAAGGAATTGAACAAAACAGACATCCATTTAATTTACGGAATAGGTTAGGGTAATGAAAAATCGTTTATCGAAAGTGTTTCAAGGGGCTTTCCACATAGACATGTAACGTTGTTCAGAGTATTTCATTTTTATAATGCATCTTCCAGAGGTGGCACGGGAAATGTGGACAACCACCCACATACTCTCATCAAAGAAGAAGGTGGAATGCGTCTTATATAGATGAACTGTTATACTAGCACACGTGCTTTTATCTACATTATAAGTATTTCGTTACAGTGTACAATGTGTAGCGCATCATGTTCCTATTTCTCACAGAAGGCTCAGCTCTGAAGAGTTTTGTGTAGTGGTAACTGCAAGAAAATTGTGTTGATTAAGTTTCCAAGAAAGTTTCCCACATTTTCTTATCATAATATGTTTTGAGTACGTAATGTTTCGTAATGTTAAAATCAGTTTCACTCGGAAAAGTGCATTCAATCCCCGTAATGGATCCCCGTAAGGAAACTCCAAAGAACACCCCTCCCACACACACACACACACACAAAGCAACACAACATCGTTTCGCAATAATTCTATGGCCAAGTTTTGTAAGGTAAGTTTGGTTTATTTGATCTACCTGGAATAGATTCTGCCAAGTTACTTCGGCATGCCCCAGTAAATGTGATAACCATCAAATATGGTTTCAACTTGATGCATAACACAAAAAAAACCATAAAAAACCTTTTTGTCATGATTTGGGTTCTTGTTAATTTTCTTTTATGCTCTGAATACAAAAATTATTAACTCTGGCGTTCGGTACCACAGATTTCATGTTCGTGTTCCGGCGGTGTCACGGACGTTTGTAGTGGTTCGAAATCTACTTTAAACCATAGTTCCCGGTCTAATAGGAGTGTAGAACGTTGTGGGGTTAGTGTTTCTCACGTAAGTAGAGCTACACGTGCCGCCCTGGGTAGTGCTAAATGAGTAACAGCGGTGCGGCCCTTACTTATGGCATGAAGAATAATTGACTCTATATTGCCAGCTGCATTAAAACAACAACAACAAAAATGATTATTATATGATCACAGGGGGTATCTGAAAGAACATCTTTATGATATACACATCTGAAATCTTTTAAAGAAAATATCTAAGTTTCAAAGAAATTGATTAATTTGAAATTTCCTACTTTTATTTAATGCTGTTGCCAATGGCGGTTGGGAAAAGCTACAAATAAACCGATGAGGAACGCAGAAATTCTCCATTTGGCGCTACTGTAATTTGCTAGATTAACTTATGAATTTTTCTTTTCTCCTGCTTGGTTCTCGATTCCGTTCCCTTTGTGATTCGTTTGATGAATGTAAAATTTTCAAAAAAAAAAATTCGATTCGATGTGCTGTGCTGTGTCAGCAGTCTCGATAAGTTTGCTGGATTTTTTTTAATTTTATTGTCAAGAAATATAAAAGGGACATCAAAGAGAAACATGAAATAGAATTTTTAAGTAAAATCTACTTAGCCTACTTCGTAATAAAATTTCAAGATCAACAAAAATGAGTGAAACACAAAAATTCATTACGTGATTTTAGAAGAGTCAAAGAGATTGTTCTGAAGTAAAAAAAGATCTTTCAGGTGCTACTATGGTATGGAACATTTATTGTTATATATAAAAATTAGTTTCTATGTTAGGAAATGCTATTACAATAAACTTGCGAGTTTAGGTGGGACTTAAAAATATTACTCCTACCACTGCACATAAAATCAGACTCTTAAAGAAATTTGTAGAACTATCATGAAAAAGTTTAACTCGATTTTAGTACCTATGTAACAATTTTTCTCAGAAGCAGACATAGCTTTTAAGTGGCCTTCAGATATAACTTTAAAAAGTATAATGTAATCAAACGAAAAGATACTTGGACTCCATTTAAAGAACTTAGTTTTTAGTTCCTTTTAAACCAAAATACTTTAATTATCAAATTATGTTGAGAAAATTTGAAACATTCGGGTATAATGCATGTCTGAAAATTCATCTACATGCACATTTTCCCCCCTTTTTGCATCAATGAGCAAAAGACTAATTATAATCGAAAAGCAATAGCAAGTTCGTTTGGATGTAAATTGGATGGCAAATTACTGCTTACATACTCCATCGAAAACCTCCGAAAACATCGTATTAGAGAAGCAGTTACACCCGATTTTTACTGACACACGTTTAAGAAAAAACATATCTATAGAATGCTAGGAAGACAGACAATACTTTCCCTAACTTTTATCATCCTAATTTAAAAAATGAATTATAAAAACGTTTTTACTACCATTTTATTCCATATAAGGAGAAGGGTTGCCATTGCCACGACAGTTTGGACTTCTACCTGCTGGTCTGTGGAGGTATTTTATTTTCCTCCTACCACCCAATGGAAAAACCGATGAAGGTATTTTTGGTAATCCTCAACAGATGGAGGCCTCAAATTTGACAGGAGAACTGCTGGTCATTCAAAAGGAATTTGAGACCTATCAGAATCTACCTCCCTCACAAAAAATTAATTCAATTACTATCTTCACCTTATCTTATCTTTATTAAGTAAGGTAGAATATTATTATTATTACTCTACCCTACTTAATAAAGGTTTATCAACATTATATCTCTTTTAGGAAGAAATAAAATGCTTGCACAGAATGTTTGTCCTGTAATGGATCGCTGCTCATGTAAATTAGAAATTCTGGAGGAAAGTCTGGATCAGATTGCCATTCCTACTTCCCTTGCAGATGCAAATGATTTGGCAAAATCTTAACTTATAATTATTTCTAAGATCAAAACTAAATACCAAATTACAAAACTAAATGTCTACAGAAAAACAGCTGCTACTCGTTCAAGATTAAGAATGAAACACCACAAAAATATGAAAATTTCTGCTGATGGCTTTAAAAAATATGAAAAATGTAGCAAATGCTCTGATATATCTACAGCTTTATCACGTCCCTGATTGTCCAGCTATAGCAGCCGTCGTCTGGACCATCCCTCAGAGTATTTATTCTTTAAGCTGCAAATCAACAAGGCCAATATTATTCCGGAGCACCATGATATTTGATTTTTTTTTTACTCTTCAGGGGATACGACAACTACAACAACAATTTCCATTTTATTAAAATTTTTCACTTTATTGACTTGGATTTTAGTGTTATAAAAGTTAAAAACTAATGGAACTTGCAGAAAAATAAGGGTTGATAAAAGAAAAGTGATTAAAGAATGGAATGAGCATAACCTGTGGGCTGAAAAGTTCATAGGCTGACACATAGATGGCACTACTAGTATTAAATCCATATAATTTTTAGATAGCCCCAACCTTCAAAAGACACGTGTATAATTTTGACAGCTGTTGCACTATTAGTATGTGAGTTATAGCATTTTTAGTGAAGTTTATTGAAGTTACATACAATACATTTAAAATTATTTAAAAAACTAGCGATATTAGCAACCGAGGCCTACACACTTTGGAAATTGTTTTCATTAGCATATAA